TTATGATAGAAAAGGGCAAATCATGCCATGTCTGCTTTATAACCTCGTTACATGCTTGTTGGCTCTTCCACAGCTCAGGTGAGAATTAAAAACTTAACATTACAGAACACAATATTTAGACTGAAGTTTGGACGCGACACAAAAACTGTCTTTGATTATAAAGTCTAGTGTTTCTTCTCAGGTTAATAAGTGAAGTGTATGAAGTACACTGCAGACGGGATTCTCTACTAACAGTGACACCAGCACAGGTTGTAGAGCCTACGCCTGGTGTGTCTGTATCTTCACCACACTGTCTTTTTGTAAACTAGGGTTAGAAAGAGCAAGAGACACCAAAGGAAGTTCAGATGAGGATATTTTCACCTTAGAGGCTGTTCTCATCCAGTGTTTGTAGCTATACCTACATGTGCTGCAATTCATAAATACCCCACAACATCAGTGACATAATCATGACCGAGTAAGTATAAAGATGGCAAACAGCACAGTGCAGTGCGGAGAGGAGGCGGATGGGTCTGACACACAGGAGAGCGTTGTTCGTGCCCCGAGTGAAACGACAAGTCAACGTTGATTTAATTGTCATGTAACTGCCGTACTGAAGTAACGCCACTCAGAACCCAATCCACAATCTTTTACACACCGTGTATGAGGGTTAAACACCGTCTGTGGATTCATGAGCTCATGTGTTTTCTTTCTGCTTCTGTCTTCATGACTTTGCTCCTGAGAACAGTCTGTGAAACTGAAGGAGAAATACACAGGAAACAGAAGGAGACAAGCTGGCCTAATATAAGACGGTCTGACATAGTCAGAAGGGAATTAGGTTCTAACCGGCCACTACAGGAAAGGTTCATTACGAAGCTATCATGATGTAAAAGTGAGTTCATTGGGAGAAACTTGAAGGAATACATTTGTTTGGTGGGGATGTCTTCACATTGGGGCGGGTTGAATTTTATTCGGGGACGGCGGTGAAAGAGTTCAGTCAGAGCCCTGAATGGACTACACGTGATCCACTGGACTTTCCTCAGTTTATGGATGCAATTTGTAAATAGCTGTGTGAATGAAAATAATTTCTGTCAACCTAAGATATTGTCCATAGCAATTACACAGAAATGGTGAAATTGTAGAGTGTTTACAAATCCAGACCAAGCCAACAAAGCAGTTTCCTAATAAATAACCTTCTGCCGGAGGGGCTTTACCGTGGCCCTCATCATAACATTCTACCTACACTGAGACCTCTCTGCCCTCCTGGTGTCTGTAGCCTGTGGAAGGCCACAGGGCCACCACTGACCTGTCACCAGGACTGTAATCTAGAACAGCATGACTAGCTGATTCTGCACTGTGCAGGAGCTGTCTTAAACCCATCGTGTTACACTGTGAAACTGGTCAAATACATGTTCGAATCAGGCACAAGGTGGTCTGAAGCAGAAGAAGTCAACCAGCACAACAAGAATATGCCCCACCTCAACTAAGGCAGGAAGTTAAAAGACAAATACAACAGCAGATCAGAACAGCTTCCTTGTTGCTGGGAAAAGACGGATAGTCAACCTACTATAATGTGATCTTTGTGATAATTGTCTTTACCACACTGCCGTACTACAACCTACTGTAGCATTAGTCTCTCCGTTAGTGTTGTGAGACTAACACTTTCACTGTGTCCAGCAGTCTCGTTCATACAGTTAGACAGCAACAGATACAAATAAAGAAATCACACTTTCAGTTCTCCTTTTGCTAATTTAAGCAGCGCTGCATTGGCTAACGTAGCTGATGCTTCCAACATGACAGTCAGAAAACAAGAAGCGTGTGGAGGGGTAACTCACTGCTTTGTTGCTCCATGCTGCTGGGAGTGTTTCCAGAGTCCTGGGGAAGGCCAACAGACCAGTACGACATTCCTACTGGAGTTACTCGCTATAGCATCAGAGCAGAGGTCCACCAGAGAGGAAGCCGGGGTTCAGCTGTCTCTGCACAAAGACAAAGCAGCAATGATGAAGAACACACACAGCTTGTAAATAAACACAATGTAGCTGTACAGCCCAAACACAACCATATTCATATCAAAATGATTATAACTATCGTTATGTTTGAAGGGTTTTGAATGATTGAGGATATCTGTTGGTATCTGATTGGATTGTTAGTAATGAATATCCTTCTATAAAAGGTGAACAAAATAGAAAAAATGATTTAAAAAAAATAATCCAATCCAACAAATCACCATCAAACTGTGAGTGTGTGCACAGTACCGTCGACCCTCTACATGTTTTATTAACGTATTATTTATTGAAGGAGTTGAAATGTTGAATCACAATATCGTGGACAGCTATAAAATACATGAGTCAGACTTTTGGAAAAACATGTGTGTTTTTTTCGAGTGCACAATATTGTTGAATATTACAGTACAGCAAAAACTAGTCACTCTTTTCTGCACCAAACTTTCCTGAACTACATTATCATGTTTTAGAGAATTCTATTAAATAATCTGGAGCAAAGCCACAAAAGGTCTAAATGAACTTGGACTAATTTGTGATATGCTACGATTCTCAAAAACAGGAGAACTGATACGTTTACATGCAAGGATCTGTGACAGATAGAGGATCAGACTGCACAAAAAGCAGCGCTATGATTTCTGGATGTTACAGGGACTGTGATAAATGAAAGTTCACTGTGGGACTAATGAAGGAGTATCTTCTCTTAAGCCCCGTTCTGAATTGTGGAAAACAAAGTGAGAAAAAAAGAGAAGACCTGCAACACGTCTTATCCTCCTCAGTCGCATGTCATTAAATCAGTTTGCAGTTTAAAAATCTGTCTCTGAACTAGCCCTATGCTTTAAAGATCCGCCTCCTTTTGTTAATAAACGGGGGGGAACTTGAAAGACCGACTGGTTCCTGCTGATTTTGCATGTCATGAACCAAAGCAACCTCTGCAACAGAGGCTGTTGAGCTCGCTACCCAATGGAGGCTGCCCTGGTGGAACAACACACAGCACTAACCCCGCACTAGCTTGTGCCTCCACACATGCGTCTTATTTATGAAACTACCAGAAAGCTGATGCCACATACAAGTGAGATGACAGCTGTAAACGTAGGAGCGACTCAGACTGTCTGTCCTCTGGTCTGGTAAAGTAACTGATGAAGGTCCAAAATGTTGTTAATAAATATCTCTGACAGCAGGTGATCGGGACAGTGTCCATCTTCTGTCCTGCACTGTTGACCGATGCTCTTCTCCTACGCACCTGTCGCTCTACAGGTGAGCAGAAGTTCTGCTCTCTGCTCATAAATCCCAGCTGACATTAGGTGAAGTCAGACTATCACTGGGCTGACACATAGAGACAGACAACTGTTCACGCTTACATTCACACCTATAGCTCAACCTAAGCTGCATGTCTTTGGACTGTGGGAGGAAGCCGGTGAACCCGGAGAGAACCCACACTGACACGGGGAGAACATGCAAACTCCACACAGAAGGGCCGGCCAGCCAGGGACCGAAGCCCCTCCTGCTGTGATATGACAGTGCTAATCCCTACACCACGTGCCACCCAATTCATTCAAATTAACTTAAGCTGTCTCCCCCCATCCGATGGGGGGGAACCATCCGAGTGTTCGTACAAGGAAATTGATCTTTCCTCCAAAAAAAAAGGTCCACTAATTGACAGATGTGTCTTTTTGGGCCCTATGCATCACTTGACAGACCCGAAATTGTAATTCCATCATTTGGACAGCATGTCAAATGTGCTTCAAAGCCCGGCGCTCTTCCTGGGGGTATGAGCAAGACATAAGTAGAAGCATTCATTTATAAATGTCATGTCAAAGTAACAGTAATCATCTGTTAAATATTTAGGTGAGTTTATTCACTTTCCTATTCATCATCCACACACAAGCAGGTGTGTATGTTTGTTTGTGCATACACATTCTATAGAGCTGAGTGTGCCAGCATCAAGAAGAGGAATGCCAAATACAGTTTCTGTTCCGGAGTCCTTTTAAAACCTACAATGAGTCGCTGAGATTGTAAATGGTAGGCCCACCTCTGCGCTGTAGTCCCACGTTAGCTAGAATGCAGGCGTCCCCTCATAAGTAGCTTCCTCTCTCCACACAGCCGGGTGCTGAGTGGGCGCGTGAAGCAGTTTGGAAAGTTTGACATGTTTTTAAAAATAGTGCCTCTTTCTGGATTATAATAATACCGAAATAAACAGTACTTTAGGAGACATATACTAAACTATATTGCAAGTTATTCGAGATAAAATGAGATGGGTATTTAATGCACAGATTTTTAAAAGCAGGTTGTTTTTCTTCTAATGTAAACGCTGCGTGGACCAGATTTACGGGAACTACTTTGTGCGCTCGAGCTGGAGCTATAACACCAGAGCTAAAGTATTCCGACACAAGAGTTATCATGAGCCGACTCACCACATGGCTGACTGGTCCAGTGAGCATCACGAGAGGCCGTCTACGGGTCCAGGTCCTCCGGACACAGACGAGTTTGGCACTAACGTTGTGCTGGACTTCCTGATTCCACGATGCAAACTTTCCAATCTCCACACGCGCGCAGTGTCAAGGCAGATTGGACTACAGAGGCATTTCCGGAAAAGATTTTCAAAATAACACCCAACAGCCCACTCATTTAGATAACATGTCAGAATAAAACCTACATTAAACTGAGAAAGATACTTTGCGACAGCAATTTAAAAGTGAGAATGTAAAGTAACGATAGGTGAAATAATGTAAATTGAAGGCATTATATAAATGACCCTTAGATGCCTTCTGAAAGGACCAACATCTATAAAGTGTCTCTGGGGTTTTAATTATAATAATATTTTGCATAAAACAACACCACCTAATGTGGTGCTTTATACGTATCCCTCTAAAAATAACCATTAGATCAAAATGAAGAGCATGTCCTTAGATGTCTATGTTGCTTAACTTTCTCCACAATCCTTCGGTTTGTGTGCAGACATTGAACTTCTCTTGTAAGAAACCGGTGCAAAGAATTACCTACAAAGTGCATTTGATTTTCTTTATTCAGATTTTCTATTTAAATACAAAACTAAAAATGCAGAGACAGACTTGTTTCCCATGTGTGATAATAAACAACATTCAAACATATGTTGGTTAAAGTTGACACTATCCCTCCAAAGATAACATTGTAGCTGTTACAGTACTAAAATGTTACTGGTAAGGTAAATATTACCTTATCTGGGACAGGAACAGAGTTCCTTCCAACATATGAAAGAAAAGGCAGATATCCCTCAGCAGAGAGAACATTCATAATCAATCACAATTAGAACTAGAAATAAAAAAGTATCTGCATACAACAGCTACTCAACAATCAGAAATCCCAAATATAAAACAGTATTTATTTTTCTGACCTTTCAACATCGTTCCATGCAGGAAGATTTGATGAGATTTCAATGGAATTCTTATGCAAAACCCTATCATTGATGATTAATCACTATGTGTTCTGTATTTATGTATCTCATGAGATTAATCTGCTTTAAGAGCTGGACTAGACAGGCAAACCAATGTATCATTATAACTACTGGAGTATTATTTTAACACTCTTCCATCAGACTCATTGAGTTCTGCTCCATAAAGATTCAGACACTGGCTGCTGGCCACTGGTTGAGCTGTCGCCATGTTGAGAGCCTTAAGGAGGCAATAGATATGCTCTAAATTTTGAATTAAGCACCTTTAATGCAGAGCCAGGAAATATAAACCAGTACAAAGAGGGGGTGCAGGAAGTCCACTCCGTTACAACAGGTCCAAGGAAAGCATCTTAGCACTTGACCACAATGAACAGGACAGAACTAAAGGGAAACTACATTAGAGAGACAACTACGGCAATGGAAAAGAGACTGAATGAACAGGAACAGACAACATCAGCTGTCTGTGAACACCAGATCAAAACTGCTCACAGCATCCACCGAGAAGAGGTCAAAGGTCATTGAGCAGGAGTCAGTAGACGACTGTAGAAAGTCAAGGAGGACATTCACCATCTTTGATCAGAGACAGCTGCTGCCATTTCCCCACATATACAAAACGTAGGTCATGTGATGACAACTAAACCATCTTCGTAACAAGTGAGCGAACTCCATCCACTGATGGAGGCCACCAGATGTAGCTGAAAGCTCTGAAAATGTCCTAATAAGTGGATCACCCATTTCTGTTTTGTCAACAAACCGTATCTCAGCTTTTGTATTTTTTCTTTTGATATTTTCCTAGAAAGTACTCTGTTGTTTGGTACTACTTATATGATACATTGGAATTTCATTGAAAGAATTTCCCTATTTTAATCCAAGTAAATATTTATTCATTATTGATTTGTTATTAGGAACTTTAATATTACATAATGTTGAATTGTATGGCTGGGGTCTACGGGGTAAGTCAGTGATTACTCACTGTTGTTGTTATTGTACCAACCAAACACAGTCTCCACTTTCCCCATAATAATTTACCAAATCACATACTTATGTCAGGGAGAACTTCTGAGTAAATTATTATAAAAATACTAACCTGTAAAATAGAGCATTAGCTGTTTTGTGTAGTGACATTACTGAAGCTGTTGAGTTAAAGCCTCTCCTTAGCTGCAGCAAATAGAAGGTGAACAAACACCGACTCTTTCTGGGCTCTGATAAACTGTTTAGACTAACTCAGATATTGGCCTAACCCTAATCTCAACATCATGTGCATGACTGATGACAAAGGACTGTATGGGTTGGAAACAATTGGGATGTGATGGACATCTCAGTCAGTTCTTCTCACATGTTTCACTCAGCTTGATGGTCACTGCTTTCACCTCCGAGTACTCAGCCAGAGCATACTCTCCACTGAGGGGACAGAGACAACATGTGAGGCAGGTTAGGGAATACACAGTGAACGATGTGAAGAAAAAGTGATGGCTCTTACAGCTCTCGCCCGTTGCCTGACATCTTATACCCTCCAAAGGGAGTCTGGATATGAAGAGCGTTGTAGCAGTTTATCCTTAAGAGAGAGGGAGAAGGAACAATGGTCTGATTTTTGTTTTTTGTTGTTACCTCTTTCATTTGTTAAAGCTACTATGAGGAACTTTCATTTGATGGGGATTTTGGCGGTAGGGTATCCAAGCACCAGAGTCCCTTTAGAAAACCTCTCATTTTACTGCAGCAGGTTCTGAGAGTCTGCCCCACTCTGTCCTGGTTCTGGTTCTCCTGTGCCTCCCTTCCCCTACATCGGGCCCAGTAATATGTCCTGGGTTTCCAGCAGCGTGGTGTCGGTGTTGGCTCCCAGAGAGGAGAAGTTCTGCTGCTGGAGGAGGAAGAGGAGGAGGAAGAGGAAGAGGAGGAGGAGGAGATGCTGCTGCTGCTGCCGGGAGCTGAGCTCTCCTCCTCCCTCTGGAGCTCCGACTGCAGGTCGAGGGCTGCAGTGAAACCGGTCTCTGCTGGAGGATCTGGGTCTGTCCACGGTGGACTGGTCTCTGATGGAGGATCTGGGTCTGTCTACGGTGGACCGGTCTCTGCTGGAGTCTGAGCTGAAGGAGTTTCTGGTGAACCTGCATGATGTCATCTGGTTTCACCAGAATCCGACCCGGTGGCACCGATGACGAGCTTTAAGAATAACTCTATAGAAACAGACCATCTTCTCTCTGATGGTCTCTTTACTGATGGAGGTCTGATAGAGGATCTGGATTAAACTGAGACTGGTTCACAACCAGGTAAAAGTTCCTCACAGTAACCTTAAGAAAACATACACAAAACCCAACCAAATTTAAATCAATATGAATAAACCAGCAGTGACATGAAGGCCAGCTGAGACCTTTATAACATAATAGTTTTGATTTCATTTTGAGTGTAAAATGAGAAGATTATTATCAATCTCACACTTGTGCATTAAAAAGTACAACTTTTTGATTGAACACGGCCCCCTTCACTAGTTCAACAATGCATTAAAACCCACCACTACTACTTGAGAATATAGCAATGTCAAGAATGTTTTGTTTTTGTTTACTGTGCAAAATTAATGTGTTTCTTCTGGTACAAAAAGAACTACAGCTGTGTGGAACCTACAGATTGGAATCATATTCAGAAAGTGGTTTTACATATATTTTATTACATTAAAAAAGTGGATTTGTGTAACGATGAATATGAATCCTACTATGGCGAAGGCATGACCAGCCCTCCTCTGCCTATGATTGGCTACTCGTTGCCTTTGTTGGTTGGGGTGAAGAGTGAGACTGGTTAAGGTGAGAATATTAGGGTAAGCCAATCAGAGGCAGAGTAGTGTGGGTCATGCCGTTGCCATGGTAGGAAAAAAAATATCACATTGAGGATATGGTTACCCATGCTCAGCATATGGACTAAGACATAAAATACACCTAACATATTGTTGTGATAGCTATATTAGCACCCACAGCATAAACTGTAAATTAGGATCGAGTATACTCATTTTTATAATCACTGAGTTCTTAAATATTAACAGGCCACTTCACAGCATATTGAGGAACTGGGAGAGAGCAGTTCTTTTCAAGTTGGTATTTAAGAAGACTGAACTAAGAATAAGGAGAAGATAGACATCCAGTTGCTTTTGTGCAGAGGGAGAAAAATCACTGTTTCACTGCACATTTGCATTTTCAGTTTGGTATGGACAATACATACTTCACTACAATCAATACATATCAGTCAGTGAATAATGGGAATTAGTCATAACTGATGTTTGATACATGATGCAGATAGGAATGCAGCATTTGATGTCACGGTGCTCATATGCTGTTGAGTAATTGATGGTCATTGTATGGTCTTAAGACTCATGAGTGCAGCTTTGTCTACCAGGTAAGTGTTGGTGGTATTGAGCCTCCCTGTTCCTTATCTTTGCTTGTTGCGTTTCTAATGCTTGATATGTGAAGATGGACAGCAGACATTGTATAATGATCATGCAGCAGGGGCAGCAGCCCATCACATGACTTCATCAGTTCATGCCTAAATTGTTGAATGTTGTAGAAACAAAATGTTATTTTGAATGAATGATAAACAGGGAAATGAAATGCCTGTCAAAAGACGTCCCTCTGGTGTCAGGACTGTGAACAGAGACTTACCAGACGGTGCCAGTCTCCAGGGCTGCAGACACAGACAGAGCTCTGTCCATACTGGTTGTGAAGACTGCTGACACCAGGCCATACTGTGAGCTGTTTGCTCTCTCTATGGCCTCCTGCTGCCTTTTAAAGCTGAATATACACTGCACCGGACCAAAGATCTGAGAGGGGAGAGATATCAGTAAAGACCTGTCACATGTACAGAGAAGTGAGTCACACTGTGTAATGACCTGATTCTGTTTGCTGTCCTCTCTGACTGCCGTTCATATAAATAGAAAAACATAAATGTGTAATATAAACAGAGACAATATAGCTGGGATAGTTCAAAAAGAAATAAGGAAAAAACTGTTGAGTCCAAAATGAAATGTGACTGTGAGCCAGATGTGCTTCTTCACAAATGTGTTTCCGTTATTATTTCCATTATTTGTTAACTACATAGAAGAATACATACAACAGAAGGGTGAGCCCTTTGCTTGGCACCATGACAGACAGTAATACATAGCTCATGATACTAATGCATTTGAATGATGTGAATCTAAAAGTTCTAGTAGAGATGTCAAGAAAAGAAATGTCAGTCTGAATATTGGGAAAATTTGGGGAACCCCCCATCCTGAAGGACGACCCGCTCTACTGCTGAGTCGCAGTCGCCCCACGACTATTGTCAGAATGGAATAATGTGAATTAAATCTGTCTTTCATTTATTCACGTTTGCTCTATTCTAGAGCTGGTATACAAGAAGGGCCACTGATGCATATGCCAGTATGCAGTGGCGGGCCGTCAGGGCCTGCAAGGCCTTCTCTGCTGGCCTAAACAGAATCACAAAGCTATATCTATTTTATAATTTAATAATTTTTCTTAAATACACTACATGTATTATAATTTATAAAAATATTTTCCCCATTATCTTATGTTGTCATTGCACAGCTACTGTCTTCCTCAGTTGCTCTGCTTCCAGTGCAGCTTGTTTTAAGTAGAGCTTTTATCCAATCAGATCTCACCTCTGTGTCTCTAGGTAAGAAGAGATGCCCGAGGCCTGCAGACTCACAAGTGCATCCATGTGCAGTTTAAGTGAATGGGGACGATATTGTTGATTGTCATAGTCTTCAACCAATCAGATCTTTAGTTTGACATGTTGGGCGTATTCTTTAGCTGGCCTATAGCTACGTCAGCATTATGTGCAGCTCAGTGTCCATGTGCAGCTCCACTGGTCAGTGGGTGAGCATGTGACTATCGTGAAACGAAACTTAACAGCAGAGGCTTAGTCGGGTAGTGAATCACATCACGTGATGCAGCTCAGCCAATCAAATATGGGCATTCTGACAAGTTTCCTGACTCGAGTGAGATGTACCACACACCGTAACACAGGGGGCTGAGACGAGGAAAGACACAGCAGAGCAGTACGTTCAATGTTTAAGTTGTGAAAGTCAAATCATAAGATGATCTCTTTGGGCTGCGACTTGTCATTAAGGAATGATGGTGGATCCCACAGCCAGAAAAACAGAACTACTGTCCTCCATGAGTGCAGGAAACATTATATTTTCCTGAATATAAGTTTCTGCATTTTCCAAATGCTCTAGCATTATTCAAACATATTGTAAGCCTCATACCGAGCGGTTTAATACTTACGTAGTTACAGCCTTAGAAACGAATAACAACTGTGGCGCCATCATGTGGTTATAAGGTGGTATTTCTGCTGCAGGACAACAGTGAAGGCCCAGGTATAAAATGCACAGCCCGCCACTGCCAGTCTGACAGGACTGTCTAAACTGTGTGTAGGCAGCCCACAGTGCACGTGCAGACAGATATCTTAGCATTCAATGGTTGTTAGGATGTTATGTACGCCCAGCTGTGCCTGAATCTGTACATACTCAGACCCAACTGCGGACTTGGCAGAAAAACGTTGAGTGGCAAGGCCACGGATCACCGCCCACCTGGGGGTCTGACAGCCGAACCACACACCTTCAAGCTAAAGGAGGAATGTAACCCGAGTGTGAATCTGAACTGGATGGTGCCCCCTCACAATCCCATTGCCTGATAACCAGTGCAAGAGTCAGAGGAGCACCCTTGGCCTGCAGTGTATGTGGTATATGGCAGGTGAAGATATCACAACAGCTGAGCGCCCATACAAGACGTAGAGAGAAGGCATCCAGTGTGAAGGGGGACAAGGATCACAGGTGAACAAACCTGCAGGTAAATGCAATGACCGTGACTTGAAATTCCTGAACTCGTGTTGCACCCTCGTCCCCACTAACATACTAGCAGAAGAGATGGGAGACCATGCAGAGATCCCCTGCATGCCCTTTAGTAGTGGAAAAGATCGTTGAATGCTGTCTAGAAGGACATGACACCTGCACCACTGGTATGCCATTTTGTTCACGATGCTGTTCTTGTGTACTCATCAAAAGTTGTATTATCGCGATGAATTCGCGCCGCGTTTGGTGTGAACACGGCATAAGTGTGTTAATGTCCCAGCCAAACTGTATTCTTTAGTTACAGACAAGTACCACAAGATGGCAGTAGCTACATTTGAGATACCATATTGTATGGTACACTACATTATCAACTAAAGCCTTGAAAGGAAACTAATGTATTCAGTTCAATTAAACTTTACAGGGCTTTTAATTAGAAAGGGATACAGGAAGTGTTAAGCATTTATAAAAAGCATTATGCAGATCATAAAAGGCTTCATGCTAAAATATGACCAAATGTTTTTAATTACAAATATAGACATATATCTAATATGAGCTAATTACACTAATGAAAAAACATAGTAATGAATATCATATTCAATTTCTACCTATAAATCCCTGTAAATCCTACACACTGTTCCTTTAATATGCAACAGTGAAACATAACACCATGTTTCCATTCAAGCATTTTTGAGCACATTAGGAAAACTGGATAGAAGCAACAAAATTCGACAAAACTTCCACAATAATAATAAAAAAAGGTTTCAACCTGCTTGTTAGTGATACAACCTTGTGGTACAGGAACCACAGCTATGAGCTGCTGCTGACTCCCTGCACAATGTCGGGCAAAGTGGAGGGAGCGAGCAGGCAGGCTGATATGTAAGGAGAAACCTGGACGGAACCTACTATGGACATCTTAGTGTCACTGGAGGGTGACAACATTTGTCAAGGTGGCTGAGTGAAAATCAGAGATGAGTGTGCTGGTGTTTTTTGGTATGTGGTTGCAACCTCCACTTTGAGCTGTGAGTGCAACAGGGGTTTGGAAAATATTTCTTCCGTGTATCAGAAGTGGATGTATTCACCATGACCTCACCCAATGGTGTGTGGAATATGGTTTAAAAGCCTTGAGTTCTGCATTTTGTCCATCGACGTTCAGTCTTTTTGTAACGCTGAATAAGACATTCTTAGGTGACCGAAATGGTAAAATTAACTTTGATGAAGTGAAAACACTGTGAAAGAGTTAAAGTTCTTAGACCAAAACACAGACAACTCCCAGACCGGACAACGTTGTGGCAGAGACCTGTCAATCAAAAGGTAGTCCTGCCCTAAAGCATACCCTGCTTTATGGTCTGTTTGACTCTAAATGGACCATAATGTACTAAATGAACATCATGCTGTATTGAAGAAGACTTGAAACTAGAGATTGAGACCATAAACTCATGTTTACAATGTTTACTGAGGTAATAAATCAGGTTTAAGGCACTTCAGCATTGGCCTGACTTTTCAGAACCCGAGGTTGATGCCTGGTTTCTAGTTTATTTGGCTCTACAGGTCATTTGAATTCACTGAATTTAACAGTCAGAAACAGGCTTCCATAGAACTAGAACTGTGTTTTTCTATCCTCCTCCCAGACTTCTCCTCACAGCGTTGTATGTCTATGGTGTAATTAAAGAACTCTTCCACAGGGTGTCAGGCTTTACTTTCACACACTACCTATCTGTGTCAGATCCATCTGCAATGAATTGAAACAGGTTGTACCTCTTCCTTGGCGATGCGCATGTGGTCTTTGACCCCAGAGAAGATGGTGGGTTGAATGAAGAGGCTCTTCTCGCCCACAGCTGCTCCTCCATACTCCAGCCTGGCTCCCTCCTCCTTCCCACTCTCTATCAGATCCATAATCTTGTCAAACTGCTCTCGGCTGATCTGGAGCCAGCATCAGACCGTAGACAAGGGATAGAGAGTGTTTAATAACACGGGAACCCTACATTTTGGGGAATTCACTTGTTGGCTGTCGTTAAACAGAGTCAAATGATACATTAGGATTAGAACTGGTTTCATTTTTGTCTGCCAGCACAGAGATTGCACCAGGGTGTTTAGCCCAGTTTAGCGCAAACGTGTTAAAGATACAGCGTGTTAATCAGTGAGTTTTAGAGCTGTAGGTGGGTGTATTTTTTAAATTTGTTTTAAGTTGTTTCACCCTGCTTCCACTATTTTAATGATAACTCCAAATCTGTACTGTACACACAGACATGAGATTCATATCCATCCTCTAGTCTCGCTCTCTCAGAAAGAACGAGAAGTAAACTTCACAAAATCTTGACCTATCCAAAGTGTTCGTAGAGTAAAGTGGGCCTACGTCACTTAAAAGGCCCTACATCAACAGCGCCGCGTTCAGACCGCTAAGCAGTGACTGTTGTTTAAATTACATACCAGCGCAGAATGTTATACTTTAACTCACCTCTTAAGCTCGGGCCCTATTTGTAGGCCTCTGCTCGAAAATGGCATACCCATACTAAAGTGACCACAGTTCTGTAACTACAAGGTCTATTTTAATAATTTTTGATGCTATAATCAGATCACAACACTTGTGAGATTGTTCAGATGGGTAATATTGTGTATATGTTGCTGCTTAATATATAGTACATGAAGATATTACACAGCTCAAATTGAAAATAGTCAGGTTCGCCTGAAAAAAAAGCACTTTTATTGATATTATGTTTTTGAAATAATGCAGCTGGCTGCCTAAAAACTCTCCCAAATCATAGCACAACCGATCAGTAGTTGTTGAATAAAGGTTGGCTGGGATAAAGTGAAGAATAAGAGGCTTTAGTACAGAGAGGTCACGCGAGGTCATCATTTTCGAACCAGCTGTTGCAGCTCTTACATTGTACTTTTATATACTATATAACTATATATTTCACTTTTTTTTATCACTCATATTATTCAATACATCCAAATACAGCTGTTAGGAATCATTTTGAGATTCCTAACATCATCAGAGCATGTCTCTGGCTCTCAGCCATAGGATTTTCTCAGTTGATGTGTGTGTATGGGGCTGTAGCTCAGCCTATCATCGGTCGATTTCAGTCAATAAGCCCGCCTTTGACGCGTCAGAGTCTCAGGAAGGCGGGTGTCAAAGCGGGTCTTGATTGACAGAAGTTTCAGCGAGTAAAGTTGCAAGAAGTGCTGCGTCTCCCCGAGTGTAAATTTCCATTCGTCGAAAGTCTGACCGCTCGCCCATGGTGGATTGACCCCCCTTCCACAGGAAACAGTTCACAAGAAGACAGGATGCAGTTGCCAACAATGATTCTAGCTTTGAACCGGATAATCTTCGATGTTATTGTACTCATTTTTCATAAAACGTGACCAAAAACCAACGATTGTTTTTGGAGAAGGGCAGTGCCATGGTACCGTTGGTCACTCACAGCTTTCTACTGGTTCCACGGAGAGAAAAACCGAAGGTATTTATGCGTTCGGGGAAGAATGCTAATGCTAAAAAATGCATTGGTGAGCTCGGTAGCTGCTAGCTTCCGGGTGCAAATATTGATTTGCAGTACACATAAGGGACATTTCTGCCCACGATTTCATGCTTTTATGCCACATTTTCTAGATGCTTATATTAGTAGTCTATAGTTGTGTTTGGAGTGTGTAAAAAGTGACTTATATGATAGTGTTGCCCATACGTTGCTGTTTAATCCGATAAAAAAAAAAAGTACAAATCCACAATATTTGCGAACAATAAGGGCATTTCCGAACAATATTTTAAGGGGGGCTGAGCCCGAGAGCCCCCGAATTCGGGGCGTCATGCTCTTTAAAAAAGTATTCCTTTACTGTTTTACATGACAAAGAAAAAAACAGAAAAAAACAATGACCAATTATTAATTAATGGGAAAGGAAACGAGCTCCCTTCAAAGAGCTGTTACTCCCATCATTAGCAGGTATTTTAATATTGGACTTAAAGTGGCTCAATATTCTTATATGTATGAAATAACAATATCATAGTGCTGACCCGTAAGAGAACTATTCCCTTTACAGAGCTTCATAGCAAGTGTCACAGCAGGTGAACTTAAGCTGTATACGTACAAGTCTATTAGATGTGTGGCGAAAAGACAAAAGGTGTAGTGGAATTGTTGCATTGGTAATAAATAAATATATGCTTCAACAGCAATATTTTAATAATAATAGTAACTATATAATGTAATGTTATCATATAATGGTCATATAATAATAATAACAACAATAATCATAATAGCTATGATTACATTGACATAGCAATTAGGTGCGAGGCCAGACCGGGGCAGTGGAGATGCCTACCTCGGCCCCAGGGCAGCACAACCAGAAGCCCCAGAAGGAGATAGGTCGAGCGGGCCAGCAATGGACATCATTTTATTCTTTTTTAGTCAAGGTTTTTTATTCTCTTTTTTTCTGTGGCAGACCTTAGTTTGTTGACCCAGGGGCCCGTTGCAGGTCTTGTGTAGTTTCTTTGATTTGTTATTTGCGCCCCAACCCGCCCACACCGGAGCCCCCACCATGCCGCAGGAGGTCCAGGGGCCGGGCAACCGCACTCCAACACCCCCCAGCAGACCCAGTCTGGCCCCTGCATCACATCACTGCTGTCACAAATACAATGTTAATAAATAAATACATTTTCTGATGGCCTATGTCAGAAATGATGTCCTTTAATCTGCTGTGAGTCTGTTGACTCCTGGTAGGCTTTTCTGTGTTATTCTGTTAACAACCACTTGTCTCATCCATGTTACAGTGCCCCCTGTGGTCACACTTTACGATGGTCCCAGAGTGGGCTGTAACAACAGGACGGAAGTGTTTTGGTTCACTCAGCTTTTCTTCCACAGCAGCAGCTGTTCTCAGTGAAGCAGCTCCTAAAGCCACTGTGCCACCTGCTCAGCAGCAACAGCAGACAGACACAGAGACGAGCTGCTGGTAAACATATAGCCCTGTGCAGGACTGCGTGCAGTCCCAGACTGTCCAATAAGCACAGCTAAGGGGGAGGGCTGTGCGCTGCTCTTTAACAGAGGAGGGGGAAGTTAAAGCTGGGGTTGGTAATCTTCTTCAAAAACATTTTTTTGTTGTATTTGATGAAATTCTCATTACATCCCGACATCAATCAATAAATGACATGCTCTGATAAAAGAAAGGAAATATATCCTGTATCTGTGGCAGAACTGTAATAATCATGTAATAATCCTGTAATACCTGCCTGTCGATCTGTGTGAACTCTACCCTTTCACTCATTGTGCGTCACAAAACCTTCCACCAGCTACTGTCTTAACAACATTACCAACCCTGGCTTTAAACAAATGAAAAAGCTAATGTTTGACATCTCAATTTATAAGGTAATACCGTATCAATATGTTTGTTTTAATGTCTGATATTCTTGAAAACATTTTTTATTTGCTATGAATTTACTTACTTGCCCATGGACTATGGTTGGAAAACAGCCATTTCCTAAAACCTGGTAATCTCCCCTTGCTTTATATAAGGTTAATGCTCTCTGTGCATTATTCCTGTTCAAATAAAGACACATACGTTTAGTCACTGCTTGTCTAGAAGTGCTCTATGTTGACTGTGTGTTCCTACCTGTGGCCCGTGTGATGTCTGAGGGTCCAGCGGGTCTCCTATGACAATCTTCTTTGCGTTTTCTATACTGCGATGCACAAACTCCTCATAAATACTTTCTTCCACAAATATACGTGATGCAGCCGTGCAGCACTGACCCTGGTTGTATAAAGCTCCTTTCTGGGTCTCCTCCACAGCCAGCTGCACTGTAGACACACACACACACACACACACACACACACACACACACACACACACACACACTAATGAGAAATACACAAGAACCACTCTAACATATCCTTCTCTACTCGACCACGCATCATCAGTCTGGCATGTTTTGTGCAGATCATGGTGAGTTCATAAGTTACATTTTCGATGTAGCCACTTTCCCTCTGCCTGCTTTGTCATCCCAACAGTCACTACCTGTAGTTGGTTGTAGTCTTCATAACCAACCTGAATTAATCATATCACTATAAGTTAACCAGGGATTTTGGAAATACTGGATGTTACGGCTAAAATTTTATGTTGCTAGTTTTCTCCTTCTGGAACAGGACGACGACGTCACCTTCAAAACTCTGATCAGCTTGCTTGTTTGGGAGGGTTTTCAAG